TTGCTAAACCACAACCGTAAGGTTGTAAGGGTAGTGGTGGGTCTACCAAAGGGGCATAGCCACTCAGGAAACATATGAGCAACATGGGTCTGACAGAAAAAACCCAATGCAGGTTCTATCAAGAAGAGGAAGAAACCACACTGCATGTGTTCTGTGAATGCGAAGCGATAGCAAGGCTGAGACACGCAAGATGCGGCGAAGAGAAACCAGAGGCTGCCAGCTATATGAAGGGGTCAGTATCAAGGCTATGGAGTCTCATCAAAGAGATCAAGCTAGACAATGAGCTCTAACAACCAAGGAGCATCACAATAGATCTGAAAAGGTCACAGTAAATCAGGCCATGGGCTATGGGTTAGCTCCCCGATAATCTAATCTAATCTAGGCCACTAGGATATAAGATCATCAACATGTTATTAAAATTCAGTCATAATGCTCTCCTGAGGACGCGAGACGCGCGTCCAGAGACTGTAGTTTTTGTTCTGGTGTTGGGAAAGTGTTTTCAATAGATTCATTTTACGCCAGAGGTTTTATTACGAACTATCACTATTACTGAGCCATTTTCTTCACCTATAAGAACTGGTAAATGACAATTAATATGAGGAAAAATAATGATTCCCACAACTCTGCATGAAAAAAATTTGTAGGTGGTAGTACCCGCGAAGAAAAAAATTCGATTTTGTTCCGTTTACTGTCGTCACAATGTGTCAAACATAAGCAACACCAAAACAAACACTGCCAAAACCAAAACTGCAATATTCAGGAGATGGAGTGACACTGTGTAAGTGTACCACGTACAAATATTTTCTTATTTTTTGCAAAAGTTTCTTTCACAATTAATTATTGAATTTGATAATCAAAAAATAGTTTTTCAGTTAATAAGTGCGGCTGCATTCCAAATTTTTAAAGAAGTATGGATTTTAATGGAGTGCCTGTGTTTTAACTTTTTGAATCTAGGAAGAAACTCACAAACTGCGGGTTTCCTGACAGGGTATACATTAGGACGGAAAAGTGTGGAAACTGATCCTTCAATAAGCAACTAGTGGACAGGTCACTTCATGCCTCCAACTGTCAACTACGAACTGCCTTATAAAGTACAGTTCCCGAGTAGAGAGGACTGAATCCTCCGGGAGAAGGAAATATTAAGAGCAGATAGTTGTTGGTTCACAGATGTATCAAAAACACCTTCCGGTTCTGGTGCAGGTGTTTTAGTCGCAGACCCAGGACAGAGATATCTACCTTCCTAGGAACCTAAGCGACTGTATTTCAAGCGGAAATTTACTCTATTGAATTGTGTCCAAACTCATACAAAAGTCAATAAAAATATTCTCAGATAGTCAAGCGGCGTTGGAAACTCTTGGCTCCTACCAAGATACGTCTAAATTGGTAGCAAATTGCCAAAAATGACTCTTCTCAATAGGAAGACTTAACAGATTGTCTCTGGTCTCGATTCCTGGCCATACTGGCCTGGAAGGCAATGAGGCTGCTGACACCCTTGCAAAGGAAGGTGCTGCAAGCAGCTTCATCGGACCAACACCTGTCATTGGCATCGCCAAACAAAGATTGAACACCTGGATGGCAAGAAGATTTATTGACTTCTGGCAGAATCTTCCAGGATTGGCTCACTCCAAGGCGTTTATTCACCCTGTGAAGCTTGACACCATACAGTTGTTGAATTACTTTAGGGATGAACTACGATGTCTAACGGGCCTTCTTACAGGTCACTGTCATTTGAATCATCATATGCAGAGATTCGAACTGACGGAAGAGAGTGTGTGTCGCCTCTGTTTGGAAAATGAAGAAACAGCAGAGCACATACTTCGTGCCTGCCCCACTGGGGACCGAATCAGGTTTCTAGAGTTCGGCAGAGCCGTACTCTAACCATCTCACCGTACAAACTAATCGGCTTCGTTAAGAAGCTGTGTTTATTAGGTCGAGTGTGACTATAGGTGTGAGCGACAATGAACTGTTTATACACTGATGTGTGTAGTGTAGGCGCACTCAAAAAATGGAGTGTAGACATTTTTTTCAGGACAAATCCTCTAAGAATATTGTAAAAAAAAGTGAGTTATGTGAATGGTGAGATTCATATTTAGGAAAGAAAGTCAATAAGTTTTCAAAAAATTGATAAATGAATTGATTATAGATTAATAGTATGCAAGAAAAAATTGATGACTTAAACAGAGAAAGAATCAAAAAATATTTTCATTTCACACACGTTAGACTTTCTACTCTAGACTTTCTACTCTATTCTACTCTTGTGAACAGAATTGAAAAGTATTGATATGCCATGAAAAACATCATTTTTGTGTGTATTTCACTCGCTGAGAATTTCCCATCTATCCGGCTAATCAAAACCCATTTGATAAATTTTGGTATCTAAAATCTTGTGGACGCTTTGTTTTGGTTAACTGATAAAAAAGGTGTTATTCAACAATCACAGAAGCATCAAATAATGCCATCCATCATTTTCAGTACTTCCACTAATCATTATTCAAATTATTTTTACTTTCCCGTCTACAAGTTGCACGCGGCATATTTACATTGGGATGAAATATATATTGTTTCCAGTTTTTAGGGAAATAGTTAAAAATAAACGCAACTTGGTTTATTTCAAAATTCCCCTTCATGAGATATAAATAAAATACTGTAAAAAATACAAGATTAAGTCAAACGGTGTCTGCAAGTTTAATAGATTATAAAAAGCTGCGGTGAGTCTTCCGAAAAAGCTTAATTTTCACTACGAATGGGGGAAGTAGAAAGAAGGCATCCTAGTGAAGGGTCCTTGTTTCCATACAGTTGTTCGTTAACATCTGTCAGAAAACCAAATGTACTGATGAGACATGAAACAAAGTAAAACATTTTGTTTTTAGATCTGAACCCTCCATCAATTGTACAATCCAACTGAGAATTGTCATAAAATGTTCTCTAGAATCTAACAAATTAGAAATGTTAAACATTTCATAAGATACGTTTCGCCACTCCGTTTTTTGGGGTTTTTCTAAAAGTTACCATGGAGGGGATACATTTGAGATATGCTCGATTGAATTTACGACTGATACCAAATATTTGTCTACCATTCGAAAAAATGCCAGAAATTTATTCTGTCCTTTGTAACACTTTTCATAACTATAAGAATGAAGAGAGTGATTTTTACGGTTGAAAGATTATGTTTTGAACACGTAGATGTAGAAACTTTCCAAATTGTTCGACACTAATAATTCTTAGACACGTTGATCCGGAAACAAATTAATATGTACTGAATAAATTCAAAACAGGGACTTTTCTCAATCGCCAGAAATGCAATACTCTTCTCGAAGCGCGTTTCACCAACTAAGATGGCGTCTTCAGGAGATGAAGGAAACAATATTTTTTATTCTACTATATGAATGGAAGTACATTTTCCAGAATTTCATCATCATTTCCAGTACAATTGAATAAATAGAATAATTGTTTCGTACATTTTTGAGAAAGAAACAGAACAGGTTGTATTAACTTTTTTTGTTACTTCTAGTTGTTACAAAAATATCAAAAAATCGTCGAGAAAACGGTTTTTTTATTTTCTAATCATGCGAAAAGTAAGTACTGTTTCTTTCATTTTTGAAAAATATTCAGAAAATATCATTTTATCACGATAGTAAAGCACTCCCATATCTTGTATACGATCAAAATCCCATAATATTCATTATATATCAACAGTTGACTTTATTGGATTCGTAATCGATATACTATTTATATTTTATTGACTATTATTTCATATCACATGACAATAGTGAGTATCATTCAAAGGATTTCAAGGATTTTTCTGCAATGCTTATACTGATCAATCAAAAATTACACATACCTCTATTTTGGAAATTTAACTATTGATAAAAAATTTTGTGTTGCAAGTATTTACTTTAGTTTTGATATCTGTTAAATTCTGTAGATACTGTAGAAGACTTTCTTCTCAGAAATGGAATTGGCTCAATGAGTCTTTGGATGCTATGACATAATCCATCCTAACCAATTTTAGAATTCAGAAATACGTCTACTTGAAGTAAGCCCTCCGTATCAATTGAAAAGAAGTAAGATACATAATCTTTTTTCGGGAAAAAAGATCTATTATTATTTTTTTAATTTCAGGCCCTATTCCCTGATACATTCAGGAGGGCGGCGCGCCAGCATTATAATAAATCAACGACCACTCCCCACACTGTAGGATAAGTGATCATTGGGTCTACGAGTCATGTGCCCTGAGTAAGCGCAGTGAGCCAAGAATGACAGCTTTCTGAATCTGCCCGGCTAGGGTTTCTGTCTTAGTGCGGCAAGCTATAACTTTGAGATCCAAGAGTGGAGAGGGCATTATTCCACCAAGGACTCCAATAACCAGAACAACCATTTTGGCAGAGTGATCTGGATAGAGTCTACGGAGTTCGAATTGAAAATCTTCATCCATTTTTTCTCCGCTTTTTGGACGATTATCGTCTCGCCAGGAGCTGAAAACTCCACGACAAATATTGACTTGCTCTGGTGGTCGAGAAGGACTACGTCAGGCTTATTAGCTTGTATGAGTCTAAGGGTGGGGAACGAATAATTCCAATAAATTCGGCACTTCTCGTTCCCCACAACGGATTCAATATCCCCTGAAACGTATGGCAACATCGATGTCTCGTCAAAACCATAAGAGTGCCGTAGGCCGCACTCCTACGGCCGCGTTGTGTTGATGGATATAAGCTAAGATTGCATATCTCGGAAATGCTGACAGCAAGTGCGTTAACGTCTCAGACGCCTCGCGGCAGGGCCTGCATCTTGTGTTAAAAACATCTATACTCATCACGCGACTGCGGAAGACTAAGGTGTTGAAGACACCATCCTGGCAAGCCATGATGTACTCCTCAGTGTCTGACTTCAGTCCACTCGAACTGAGGAAGTGAAGGTCAGGCGCTTTGTTGAGCCAAGGTCTTCATTGTTGTTGAATTATTATTATTATCTCCCCTCATCAGAGACATACTAGTATTCAGTTCTTGTTACAGCCGTCCAAAGAGGTAGAGTACCACCATCGCAGCCTTCGCTTCCAGGATTACCGAACCAATTCCTCAACTCCACTGATTCGATGACGTCATCTCTGAGCAACCACACGTACCTTAGTAGTTACATATCTCTACTTCTGAGAGCAGAACCATACCCCACTAGCAGATACGGACAATGCATCCAAACCAACAACATAATGGGTATCGATAATATCTGCGAGTTGGCGGCCAGGTTACTCTTCTCTGCCGTAGAATGGGCGAGGAATATTCCGTTTTTTCCCGATCTCCAGGTTACTGATCAGGTGAGTGGAATTGCCGAAACACTCAGGTCACAGGCTAGAACTCAGCCACTATGTAACTGGGTTATTAACTCTCTATTTGTATTCCTGTACTTTGTTTATTTCCTTACTGTTAAGTTTCGAATCGGTTCTTTCAGACGAACAGAATAAATCCACTTGTAGGTAGATTGTCTCATGTCAGTTAGCTCTCATCACCATTCCGACATAAGTTTCATTTGCAACTTCTATCAAATAGATGTTATATCCACTGACTTGGCCATGGCATTCGACAGAGTTAACCACGAGGTTTTGATCATGAAATTAAAAGCAGGTTCACAAACAACATACTTGATTTCTTACACTGCCATCTGTCCAACAGAATACAGTTCGTACAGTTCAACAACGTATATTTGTTCGAATTCACCGCTACTTTGGGAGTTCCGCAAGGTTTGATTATGAGACCTCTCCTTTTCGTGTTATTTGTTAATGACATTTCTCGATATATCAGGCATTCTCAATTTTTCCTATATGCCGATGATCTCAAGCGAAAGCGAAAAAGATTCCGATATGCTTCAATATGATCTCAATAATCTATCTAATTACTTTTCAGTATCTGACCTATCTCTCAACGAAGCTAAATGCAAAATAAAGAGTTTCACACGAAATGAGTCACCCACTATCAAGGTCTATTTCATTAATCACACCAATTTACAGAGAATCAATGAGATGAGAGAACTCGGGATCATTTTCGCTGGTGTGTTCAGTTTCTCTCGGCACATTGAATACTTAGTATCTTAATGAAAAATGAGCTTTGTTTCAAGATCTAGCCATGAATTCAATCACGATACTTGTTTGTTACTCTTTAATTCCATTGTTCGTTCTAAGCTTGAATATGGTTGTGTCATTTGGAATCAAAAGACCTTTTTATGTTTTGTTACTATAGAAATAATCCAGAAACGATTATTAAGAACACTCTTCTTCAGAAAACACAGGTCTGGCCTTTATTTATATCGCATTCCAGCCAATTACAATAATTCAATATGCAACCATTGAAAGACCGCCGTGAGTCCTCGGAAGTAATTTTTTTAACGTTCTCAGAAAACTGAAAGTACCTGAAATTCTCTATAATATTGATTTTATTGTACCTGACATAAGACTAAGAAGAAGAGACAATCTCTTTCGTGTCTCAAACAATTTCTCTCCTCTTTAACAATTTCCCGAAACCGTTAACAAAATGGTAAGGATCTGTGAACAAACAGTATTACAGAGGGACAACTCCTTCAAATGCTCAAATGTGTCTCAATTTTTTTCTTGGTCATTTTATTATTTATTGCTGTTATATTTTAGATTGATGCTAACTAACACCTTTTGAAATATTTCTTCGGTTTTCCATCAATCGTTTGATAACCCCCTATTGTTGTCGAAACACACATTGTTTGGCAGGTTTTGAAACAGTTTGATTTTACCACAATTTTTGGTTTACAGACAATGCATAGGTTTTCTCAAACGACTGACTGTTTCAAATGTATATTCATTACAGTCTTCCTGCTATATCTCCTGAGAAAAAACCGAACCCATCTTGTAACGTGGGCTTGTAGAAGACCAATCATCTAATGGAACATTTCGGTTACAGGTGGCACTACTTAGATTAGTTTGGTCAGAATTATTTGTGCTGAACGCCAGTCAGTGTTCCATGCCGCTTCATGTGGCGCCCCTAATAGCAGCCGCAGGACTACATGCGTCACCTATGTGCGCAGATAGGGTGGTACAATTTATGGATCACATTAGGATATTTCAAGTAAGGCAATTATAACTACTCTTTACTTATTAGGTTATAAGCCGATTATATTGAAAATGGCAAAGCCAACCCCTTTGTCGTGATTGATGATTTTTTAAGAGGCGACTTGCCACTACGAAATATTAAATAATTCAAGGAGTTTCTAGTCAGTTAATGCATTTCTTGCTGCATCTAGAAATATCATAAATGAAGTTGTAGCACCAATACGATGCAGCATTCAGGATTAAGAAACATGTGTTAATCATTTCCAAATCTTTCACTAGAGACCGAAAGACAAGATGACAGAGACTGAGAAAACTGTAAGGGAGTATGTTGGTCAGACTTGAAGCACAATTAAAATTCGTTTCAAAGAATACGCGTTGCTTGCCAGATTTCGTCGACAAGAAGATTCTACATTTCAATTGTTGAGACTGTTACATGATATTAGACTTTTGAGTTCTTCCACATGCCATTTCTGCCTTCAAATAACTCCATAAATATTGCGTTTATTTGGGTGAAGTATATTCATACATTTTATAACTTATTCACGTACTCAGATGCTAGACGATATTGTACAACCTACAACATTGAACTCCAGTTATATTCCTCATAGTTGAAAATAGTTTCACAGATAAATCGTTGAGAGATGGTTTAGAGACTCGTCTGAATATTCATGGAGATAGATGGTGGTTCTTTGGATTGAACAACCACCTTGAGAAACCAGGTAGTTTTTCAAAAGTCACATGAAGATAAATGTGTTTATTTAGTATCTCAGAATGAGGGCACTGCAACCGGTTTATCAGAACAGAACCTGTCCTGGCAAACACTGAATACTTGGACTGCAAAAAGAGTTTCAGACATCTGGCAGAATCTGGCACAAGCACTACAGGAAAATCATAAAGGCGTTATAACAACGGTGTCTGTTCGAAAATAGCGATTCACGTTGGATTTGAATCGCTGGAGATTTCGATTCAACTGGAAAAACATTCTCAGGAAGTTTATTCCATATAAACGCAGTTGTCCAAATGAAAGAGTTCCTAAACAGTGAAGATCGAAGTGTATTGAGTTGAATCTCAAAACGATAAGCAGCCACAGTCCGTCACGTTTATCTGATATGTACCGCTCTTGGTGGAATCAAATGTGTCCAGTCACTTGAAAACCTACCGTGAAAGTATAAATAAAAGAGAGGCAAATCTCCAACTTTTCTCCGAAAACTATCCAGGTTGCAAGTGATGTTCGTGTCTCCAATTAGGGGGATTTCTTTTTTCTGGATGGAATCTAGTAGCTTCAGGGTATGCTTAAAGGTGGAGCTCCATACACGAGAACAATACTCCGAATAAGGTCTGATCTGAGTTTTATGAAGCATCAAAAGATGCTCAGGTGTGTACAGTTTTCTGGTTCACAACAGTTTATCGAAGCTTTTAAGAAACAGCCTTTGCAATTCCAGCGACATGATTGTGCCAAAACATATTGGTGTCCATTTCCACCCCCAACAAACTTATCGAAGCATTAAGCGGAATTGTCTGTCCTGACATTATTACATCCGGTTCGGAGACATTTATCCTTTTGGAGAAAACTGATGCCTGGGTTTTCGTGCATTGAATTGAACCTGGTTACTTTCACCCCATTCGAAATCACTCCTAAATCATCATTAATATATGTAACCTCCTGGAGGGTTGAAGAAAATATGGATCCTTGGGGAACACCAGCGTTGATGGTAAAAGTATTCGAGAGGTATCCATCGATGGCCACTTGCAGGAAACATTTTTCAGGAAGCTGGTGAGCCATACACAAAAATGATCCGACCAGCCATAGCATCCAAGTTTGGCCAGCAAACCCTCATGCCACACATGGCCGAAGGCCTTAGAAATACCAAGTGCTACAGCTCTTTACTCTCCATGTTTCTCGATTATGTTATTCCAAATATGAGTGATATTACGATATAAGGTCGCATGTTGATTTTTGTTTCCGAAAGCCATATTGATGATCGCTCAAGATGTTGAAGCCTTCAATGGATTTTCATCAAGTATATCGGCCAATTCCATCACATAAAAAAATATTACAATAATTCTGGGGTTTTCAAGATTTGCTGCAATTCACTTTTGCCGAGGATTCAATTTTCTACCACTAATCTATTTTTCGGGTATCGGCAGACTTGGTTTCACCGTATTTTACTTGATTTGTATCTTTTCAGGAACAAGTAGAAAAACTGAAGGCGTTACATGTTGACTCTGCCGAGTACTCCTGTCTAAAAGCCATAGTTCTCTTCACGACTGGTAAGTTTTTCGAAAGATTTTTGCACGCATTACATAAGTTTGAAAATTTTCCAAAATTTAATGAATTCAAAGATCCCTCGTAAAGTAAAACACACGGCAAAAAATAGATCACAACGCCATAATAGGTAGGACAGAGTCACCAAGTTAGTCCGAGCAGAGCCCTTGAAACAAAAGCAGAATAGAAACAACGGAAAAGAGGGAGATACACGAAAGTCCAGTGTGACCACGTCGTTCACAATTTGAACAAAGCAGCGTTTATCGAAACCAGCAGACCTATCATATACTCCATCTTGGCTATGAAACGCTACAACAATACTTTATTGTCTCAGGGTAACTTCACACCTTGAACTCGAACTGCACAATAATTATTTATCTCATATCTGGGATGAGTTGCTACGGGGGTCATCCGAAAAGTACTCAGAATGTGATTGCTTTTCAGTTTTCACATTGAATAAACATATATATGAAATAGTTATGGTGTTTTCTCAAGAAATTCAAGAGAGCGACTAACTTGGTATAAAATGTTCATCTCAAAATCGCATATTATCAATTTGCCACTTTCTATTTGATAATATGCTCCAGTTGCTTCATTTGCGTGTGACCCTCAAGAGTTTTGAGAGACTTATTTATTATAACTAACGGAAATCGATTCCAAATAAGAATACTTCAATATGGCAAGTGAAACAAAGAACAAGTCAATTCTTTTGGCTTTTACTTGTAGAGAATAAAATATTTTTGACTCTTGTTTGAAGGTGATTGACAATGGTTCATGGAGAATTTCATTAGTTCGGACTTCCATTGTCTAATATGATCTGAAATCTCTGAAATAGCAAATGAACAATAACAAAATAGCTCAGATTAACCATTAAATTGAGCAAAGAACCTGAAATGGAGTTCCAATAAAACAAAAATTAAGCAAAAAAACTGAAAATTGAACAATTAAACTGAAATAAAACATTTAAAGAATTGTTGAAAATTAAAAGATTTTATGCCAAGTTACTTCACGACGTTTCGATTTTTAGTATCCACAATCGTCTTCGGGTGACGACTGGGATTATTCCTACGAGAGTAGGAAAAAGCGCAGTCATCCCAGACCATTCATAGTTCATTCAAGTGCTTTCACCTGTTTCCTCTCTCAGTTTCACCCGCTTAGCGGAATATGGCTGTTTGACGGGAGTTGACCGGTTTCTGCTTTATTATGGGTTTCCATATGTTGCGTATCTCTACGCTAGCTTGGCTGAATGCGTCGTTAGACAACATGTATGCAGCTTCTTTGAATTTTCTCCTGAACCAGTGCCCCTCCCTGTGGATGATCTCAGCTTGGGACCACTTGATGTTATGTTGATGGGTCCAAACATGCTCTGCTATTCCCGACTTGCTTTTTTTTTCTTTTTGCTTTTACTTGTAGAGAATAATAAAGTTTTGGTTCACCTAAGATGAAATTAATTGATAAATGATTAAGTCAGTTCAATACGGAAGTAAAAGAGGCAAGATGACTTTGAAAACTCCATTCCGTAAACCTACTTACAAAGTGAAAACTGTTTGAACAACAAACTATCGAATGTTTTGAGTGAACTCAGTCCAGGCAATTCTTCAGTTTTGAATCGAAAATGCCGATGTCCACCCTCTAAAATGGAAGTTGTTTTCAAAATGAGACATATTTGTTTTTGAGCCCGCTAATAACAAATAGTGACTCTGAAAAAATCTGTTTCTCAAAATTGAACTGACTGTTATAGCTCTCAAAAATGTGACACTTTTGCTTATCGTGATCTGATGTGATATGTTCTATGAACTATCAAATGGCGCTAAATTCAAATCTGTCACTTCCTAGTCGATCACCCTATACTTGTTTGGTTTCCTTGTCCTTGTTCCAGAACGGATTTGAACATTTTCAAGAAATTCTCAAGTCAGCTATTATTGATTAAACTTTTTCTAGCGCCTTCCCCCCCTCCCCCGAAGAAATACACGGAGTTCACGAAAAACTCATAAAATCCTGTATAAAGTTAATCGATTCGGTTGAAACACTAACAAGTACCTGTTCTGGATACTGTTAAGAACGAATCTAGCCGAATGAGACGAGGATTTATGGTGTTAGTGCTGAATATCAAATGACTTCGCAGGTCAAACGCAGAGGTCAAAGTTCATGCAGGTGTACCATGATCATTTTCTCTTAGAAGTCGCTGTGATACTGGATTCGCTGTAATTATAGCACATAAAATGAACATTATGTAATATGCATGGATTATATTGTTTACCCATCTGGGTCTGGTCATGGTATGCGGCAGAACCAAAGGAATGAAGGAGAGAAATAATCATAATTATACTCGCTCGATATCCGTATTGGAATTCACTGGGAAGTGTACATTATTTTGTTAAATTTATGTTTCAAAAGTTTTGAATTGAGATATCTGATTTGAATACCTATCAATGAGTAACAAGATCAATTTTTTCTTAAAAAAACAATTGTTTTCTTGTCGACGTTTCAAATTCAATTAAATTCTTCTTCAGGGCTCAAAAAGTAGTTTCTTCGTGTTGATAATATTATTATTTCAAAAACCATCAGACATATTTGACACATAATGAAAAAAAAATAATAAACATGGAAACAATCAAATTTCCGAGACAAAGCCAACACAAGACGGCATTCGTTTGTTTCATGTCGTTTGTGTGCCTACTTTCTAATGAATGAATCAACCTGAAAAATTCAGGTATGAATTCATTAACTATATGAATAAATTAAAACTGATTATTACAGTTTATTGTATGCTTTTCACTATGTGTTGCGGTTTTACAAAAACCGCGACACGAGTTTTGCTATACAATAGTTTCCTCAAGCGCTTGAAGATGCTATTGTATAGCCAAACATGTGTCGCGGCCAGTTCTATTCAATTATTGAATAAATTAAAATTTTCGAAAATACCGTAAATATAATTAACTATTCTGACCTGGAAATAAACATATTCGATAATGGCGAATTATTCAGTTCAGTTTGATCGTTCATAAGATATTGGCATGCACATTAAGGATAACAAAGACGAAAGTTCAGTTTGAGAAAAATCGGGAGTGTATAAATTATCATGTGTGTCATGTCCGATGTTGTATATAGGCCAAACTGGAAGAACATTCAAAACCCGCATAAAGGGACACAAAAATAGTTTCCAGAATGGAAAAATAAATTCCATAGAGGAACATGAGTTCAACCATGAGTTGAAACCCCTCCATTACCAGGAGGAAGGTTTGAAACTTAACCTGTTGGAGAGTATGGAAATAAACAAATTCAAAAACTCTCGATATCTTATGAACGATCAAACTGGACTGAATAATTCGCCATTATTGAATCTGTTTATTTCCCGTTTGGAAAAAAAACCGGAACTCAGTCAATCCGTAAGAAAGACTGAAATAGAAACAGATAGAAATGATACAATAGCTTATAAAAACAAATCCAACTGAGACAAATAATACACTGACCTGAACTAACCGTCAGAACGTCACTGATCCCAAATGAGATATTACACCCCAAAATGGAAAATGGTGTGATGACATATACATGGACGATAAAATTAACAGTAATAAGCGAATGAGCAATAAATAGGGTTGTATCTAATTGATTTTATATTCAAATAGGTGTTTACATTTTGACCATCGAACATGGCGCAAAGCAAGCAATTCGTTAGTTATGATAAAGCTGTCTACACACAGGCGTAACTGATTATATTCTTGTAAGGACGGAAACGTTTTTTGAAACTGTAAAACATGGAACAAGACAAAATTCGTCCAGCTGATTATCAATGTCAATTATTGAAACCGCAATGCTAATCATTAAATGTTTCTATAACTATTCAAAAAATCGAATTATGTGACCGTTTCTTGTTGGGTAAGTAGGCATAAGTCACACCAGTCAGAGTTGACCAAATTCATAATCTCACAGTTGTGTTTCAATTATTATCAATGAGAGTTGTTGAACGTTTTTTCTGATTATACCTTTCTATGAAAATAATCTGACTCAAGATATATTTCACAAATGAAATATTTCTGTCATAAGTCATAGAAAAAGTATATTACTCTAATCGCGATAAATGCCACATTTCTTTCTCGTTCAATAAAGTATTATTGGATATTGTGATGGAATTGGCCTATGTTTGATGAAAATTTATGACTTTCAAGTATTACTTTAATGTGAGATTTTCACTGAATAGTGAAATAATAAAAAAAAGTATTTCGGATATATGAAGAAATGTAACAAGTATTGTTTGGTGTATTTTATTTATAAGCGTTTATTCCAATAGCTTCAAACAATATATGACCCATTCGACTTCCATTAAAGATTTACAACTTGAATCACACCCCGCTCTGAAGGGTAAGTGACAATGTTGAAAATATTCTCAAATGTTTTACCTCAGCATGAAATCGAAGGGTTTGAGCGATTTTTTGTAAATGACAACTATGAGAATTCCGTCTTGATTTTTTTACTGGCCCACTTTGTATATCCTCAATGAATTTGCAATTATTGTTTTATTCAGAAAATTTTGCTAATTAAACTATTGGTACTAGTGTATACGTAGATGATTATGTTATAATTGCCAATAACTGTGACGTTAGATGTGCTAATGTGCCGAGGTGTTCATTTGAGTCACTTGCTGTCCGTAACAGCTAGTACTTTCAGGGAATGGTTTTTCACAAGGCAACGCACAGGCCTAAGAAAAACAAGGAAGTCTCCCCTTCGTTGCCGTATCGTTAGTTACGCCAGTGAATCGACTGCTGCGTAGCGAACCTTTCACGTGTGAAAAGCTTTCTGGCTAGTTGACCATGCAACTCTGTCCGTCGGTGTTGCCCGTTCAAATCATGACAGCCGCGTTAATATCATACAAAACAAAGCGAACCGACCGCGATAAAGATATAATATGCGAATAGGCGAATATGCGATACTCCGGTTCTCCCAAAACCATCGACTAATGTAATAACCCCGATCATTATGCAATTTTCGATACCGACAAAGACGG